ATGATATGGGTTAAAATCATCCAAAACTCAATTGCAGAATGACTTCAATCTTTGTATTTTTATGCTTTCACGTTCGGAAGGGCTAGTAAAATTTGTTAGAGAGGCAATTATTAATTCCGAACGTGAAATAAAAGTGCAATTTCAGATTTGATATTTTTAATTGATTCATTCTGCAATTGAATTTCGGCTTGTGAGAAGGAATGACGGTGTTTGTTGCAGTGTGTATTTGTACGGAGTTAATGTCAATGCTGAACTAGAATGCTTACATTTTTCACAGTTAAACAAATTATGGATGAAGTGGATGATGCAATTTTGTTGGATTCAGACAATGAGAACCTGGAAGACAATGTGAACCAAGTTGACACGGAGATTGTACAAGCAGATTGTAGTATTGTGCCCGAGGTAGGAATGACATTCAAGGATGAAAACGAGATGTGAGATTTCTACGAGCGATACGCCTATCCCGTTGGTTTTCCAGTTAGGAAACGAAATTCAAAGAAGGATGAGGACGGAGTTTTAAAATATCTGACGTTGACATGCAGTCGGGAAGGCAAAATAAGTTCTACTATAAGCGGCTCTTTCAAGCCCCAGCCGACAATTCAGACAAGTTGTAGAGCTAGGATATCTGCATCTTCAGATATTCATGGGTCCTGGAGAATCAACACAGTCCATCTAGAGCATAATCATAGAACAAGCCCTACGAAGTCCAGGTTATACCGTTGCAATCGAGAACTGAGTGCGCAAGTGAAAATGAAGCTTGAAGTGAATGATCTAGCAGACATTCCTTTACACAAATCCTACAACTCTGCAGTAGTGGAAGTAGGTGGTTATGAAAATATGAGTTGCAGCGAAAAGGATTGTCAAAACTATATTGAACAAGTTCGACGATTACAACTTGGAGCAGGAGACGCGACAGCAATACAATCCTACTTTTCGAAGATGCAGTCAACGTGTTCAGGTTTTTACTTTAGCATGGATTTGGATGACGATTCGCATCTAATGAATGTATTCTGGGCAGACAATCGGTCAAGGCAAGCATTTAAGGAGTTTTGGGATGTTGTTACATTTGATACTACCTACCTGACCAATAAATATGACATGCCG